ATCATTGTTGCTAATCGTATTTGGGTTTATGGATTGGTTTATCATATTAGCAGCCTAAAATGCGAACATAGTTTAGATAATAAGATTAAAAATTTAGGTACTATCAACTGCACTAGTAAAATAACTAGATCCCTAGGTAGCTGTTGGCTAAACAAACGTTTAAAATCAAAACTCCGTAGCCTATTAGAATTAACACTAAACGAATCTTTCTGAATTAAAATTTATAATTAAATTAGGCGTCTCGGATTCTTTAACGTTACAAATTTCTGATGATTTCGAATCACCTAAAGCAACAATGCCTTTTTCCCACTGGCCAATCTTCAATCAACACTATAACTAATTAAACATAATAGTTTCAGGATATCTTCATAAAGCATTGTCATGACTTGACAATCTCGTAATATGATTGATAAAATTAATGAAACTATTAACAAAATCGGTCAGCAAATTGACTTATAATTATCACCAGTGTTGTTTTTCTTCATTCACTACAGATGATTACAGTATGTTTCTCTATCAGTTGCTCATTCAGTAAATATCTCAAAACTTTGTCAGTCTAATTGATGGTTTAGCGACACAATCATGCATGCAAATAATCAGTATAAGCAGTCGAGCAAATCTCCTGCAAACTGAAAATATCAATGTCGAATTTACCCCAACACTGACTAAGGTTCAAGCTATTATCATAGGCATGAGTTGGGAGTGCACTTCCCTTGGTTACAACTTATGTTCTCCCTGATAATCACATGAGCATCACTCACTATTAATCATCTTGTAAAAAATTATTTAGCCAAATACACCTTGCAGCACCACATCACTTAGTAATATGACACATAGGTTTAACTAATTTCAATAACGTATAACCACTATATCTCAATTAAATCGTGTTCCGCCTTATGATAAACTGCATACTTTCAACTAACTTGTATACCCAATCAGCCGGCAAGTATAGATATAAATAAATAGTCTGCCGCAGATCAGAACATTGAGTCTAGAGCATGTCTCTTAAGAATACACTCATGTTTAACGATTTGTTCCTAGCTATCTGTCCAAAATTCACATAATTATCACTCACGTATTTAAATTTTGTTTTGATAACCATTCATGTGTATTAGTAGTATTACTAAATTCTATCACGGTCAGATAAACATGGGGTTGAGAAAATCTCCCCGTAACTAAACAAACCGTATCAAACTAACTGGAACACTAGTTGGAATTCTTCTCCACGGTAATACTTTTGTTCCTTCAGTTAGCCTACTAATACAGATGCAATTGGAAATCGACTCATATGGACAACTTACCGGCATAATCGTTATTTGATTTCATAAGTTAGACTAAAAGTAGTACTAATATTAACATTTCTACAATATTTATAACTTTAATATTTCTAAACACAAAATACTACCTATACGTTAAGTTATCAACCAACGGCTATTACACACGCATCGTTTTATTATTACTATTATTATTATTGTAATCCCATTTTTTTATAGCTCAAATAATCACTCAAATTTTCATTGTAAGCGTGTTGAGCATGAAGGCAGATATTTTAAAATTATTACATGTATTTCCCGACCAGATGCTGCCGTCTTCTTTTTTATTTATCTTTCAGCTTGTCATCACCCGGAGGAATCTTACTATTCTTGGTAACCTTCGGCACTACAGTCCCATCCAATTTGGTATCGAACCAACACCACGTTCATTCTGGTGGGAGAGTAGTGTAGTGGCATTGGACCATAACCACACTATCCTCAAAGCTGAATACGAGATTACTCGGAAAATAGGTATTCAATATTTAACGCGAAGAAATACCTAACGATGGAGAAGGCGCGAATAATGAATTGAATAGACTAGAGTTGATCGAACGGCATGGCTCGGCCATGCAGGCGTGGTCTCTGCTGAATGTTACCTTATATCTTCTTTTCATATTAAATATATTGTTCTTTCTCTAGTCTAACCTTGTTCTACATCATGTATTGGTAATTGATACGATACAGTGAGTTGGTGTAGTCGATGGTGTGACTTCCACGTAAGATCTTATAGATTAGGCAGTCATATCATGACAAATCTACAAATTTAGGATTAGGTCTATTATTAGAGCAGTACTAATATCATAGTAGACCATAAGTTCTACAAGGCAACGGGTAACGATCAGGAATAGCTTTTGCATTCAATCTCCGTTAGTCACCAGTTGAACGCCAATCGTTGCTGTCCTTTTTAGGGACCATGTGCAACGGAGATGCATATGGGCTCTTTGACGGTCGTATGATTCCTAAGTCTATCGTGCGATTGAACCCGTTTTTCGCTAACCTTAGCTTTCCAGGCGCTAGTCGTCGTGCTTTAGAGAATACAGGTGGTCCTGTAGTTGTGATGTGATGTGTAACGTTGCTGGTTACATACGGTAATTTCGGTTGCATTTGATGAATGCCAGGATACGTATCAAGTAGTGGTTGATAAAGTGGGTCTATCGTATGCTTAATTGTGACTGGGGATAATCTGCAACCAGAAAAAGAAGTTACGCAAACGGATAAATTAGTGTTTCCATCTATTAGCCTCCGTTTGCGCGTATCGATGATCAGATTATGGTGTTATACAAGGTCTATACCAATGATTGGCATAGGAACATGTGCAACAACGAAGATCCAGTGAACGGGTTTGCGTAGGCTCACGTTAATGTAAACGTATTTTTTTTCCATACGCAGCGATAGGTTTTCCGTTTGCCGCCGGTGTGTTTAAAGCCGATCCGTGACGCCGACCGTTAAGATTCGCTGGGAGAACGATAACTTCTGCGCCAGTGTCAACGAGGTAGCGAACTCTCGTTGTCACATCTGTGACGTACAACAGACGGCTAAGTTCGCCGGCCACAGTTGCCGTTAACGCGTGCCAGCTTGGAATTTTCCCGAGTTGTTTTTCGAGTCAGTCGGTTTTGTGTTGGGAAAATTGCAGGGATTTCTGCAATTTCTGGAAGACTTTACATGCTAGTTATGATACCAGCACCAGTCGGGGTTATCTGTCTCTCGTGTTCTCGAGACAGATCGTTTACGTGAAATGCTTCTACGTGGGCTGTATGAGCAATTACGGTCGTTACGAAAGTTAAGATAACGCGTGAGTGTATGACATAACTCGGTTATGTCATTCTGAGTCGTGTGAGGCTTTCCTTTGACTAAAAAAACTTCGGTAGTAGAAGATTTCGTAATTTTTAAGATACGATCGGCAGATGAATCCAGCTCGTTTAAGGCGTTGTTCTGAAACGAGACCAGAACCGCTTGCATCTGTTGGGGAAGTCTGGAAAAGAAAAGCTGGTTAAATAAGCCTTCGTCGAAAGTTCTTAGGCCTATCACCTCTCTCATTTTTTGCAACATGTCCGTCGCAGAACCGTGTTGCAGATCTATGTTATTAAGGAGTTGGTCTAACCTTTGTCGATCGGTTAGGTCTCCTCGTTTAAGAATCGAACGTTTTAAGCTTTCGTAAGGTTCAGAAACATTACTAGTAAACATACTAAGTGTTACGTAGCTGTTGAATTCCCGCGGTGGTGTCTTGACTACTACGAAAAATTGTGCACGTGTGTCGTTCACGCCGTGCTCGTGGAAGTCGGCTTCTGCGTAGCAGAACCAGGCTTCGATATTGTCAGGCCAGAAGGGCATGATTTGGAACGATGGTGGGGACATGATCTTAATCGCAAATACCTTAGGAGTCTGTTCGGTCATAGGGGGAATGTCAAGTACGAGAATACGAGGGAAAAATACATAGATATCCGAAAACACTGGGGAAAAATATTACAATGTATAAAAAAATAAAAAATAAGGCAAAAAGATATGAAAAATCCCAAAAAGGAACAGACTCACAGTTGCATTTATGTGTACCAGATCACGTTGGTCTCACCAATGAAGATGGCACAGGTATTCAGTGTTTGAAAACGTTTTTACATACAAGACCTTCTAATATAATTCGTACCCACCAAGAGAAATCAAAGGACAGAGTCGAGGAGATTGGAAGAGTGTATTTGGCGATTACCAATATAACGAAATTCTGTGATCTAATCTGGCTAGCGATTGCAGTAGATGTTGAGCACAGCATTACCACACGTGATCAGGTGCGGATGCATGACCGATCACCTTCAGCTAGGTTAGTCCAATAAAACTAATCTGGTCAGTATCCAATGTTGAAAACTTACAGAACTATTTATTTTGTGAGTTTATTTACCGCTACAAGCTCGAAAAAGCTTGGGAATTATGAGAAATGAGCACCAAGGACAGTCATTTTTATGTTTCCTCCTTGTTTTTCGAGCCCTCCGCAATAACCAAACCAAGTACCAGAGAGAATGAAATAGAAACTGTCATTTAGTATTCATCGCACTATTCCACAGTATAAATGAAAACAACCAAACTCCACCGGACATTGCTAATCGTTTGAAGGCTTTTTGCCGACGTGTGCTTGTTAGGCTTAAAGTTTTCGCTGATAACGTTCAAGATTTCGCACCATCATAATGGGGTGGCAACGGACTTTGGGTTTTTAAAACCCCGGAAAACATGTGATCTTGTGAACGTTAGACATTGATGCTGACTTTGCTAGTTTCACTGTCAGTCGCTCTGAAAACATCGGTCAGTCATAATCTGACTAATAAATGGAACATGCTTTTCCCTCTTTTGACTGGTAGTTAGGTAGCATCACATCCGTCTGCCACTATCGATGGTAAAAATACCTTATTTTACCAACGCCATCTTCATTCTTGTTTGCGTTCTAGGTAAATTGTTGTGATATACTTGGAAACCAACAGTGTTTGATCCTTTCATATTCACGGTGTTTTCGCAGTGATTTATTTTCTTTCCTGACAACGACAGAATAATTGGTTGTACTTTTCGTCTATGATAAAAGAGCGGTTTACACGTTCGTAATAACCGCATTTCTGCCCACCGTTTAATCCCTGGTTACGTTAAATTTAATTACTTTTGTGCATTGTGCTCTACTTTTATTCAAGTGATTGGCTTTTATTACTGTTAATGGAAATAAAAGGTACTTATATGCAATGCAGACCTAAAGTACCAAAAGTGAGATTAGAAATGTTAATCGAGCACTCAGCATCTACTACTGACTCCAAGATACTGTTAGCCGAATTAAAATCAGTTGAAATAACGTTTGTCGCTACTAGGATTCCAATGAGATCATTTCGTTATTAGTGAACGTTAAAACACTTGAATTGACATCAACATTCTTAATCATGTATTTGCCTTTACTGTTTCGTTGATTCTACTGCGATACGGAAAACCTAATCACCTTCTCAAAAACTGTATTAGTAGTTATTTTGGTGGAGGAATCGGTTTAATTACAGTTATTTTTAATCTGCAGAACACAGCGGCCCCACCTATTTATATTGTACATTGTCTAATCCGATCAGCACTGTTTCAAAAATAGAGGATACGCTGCTTGTTTTCTTCTCTGTACGTCCTTCTGTTCTCGTTATTGTTTACCTCTGAACTACTACTTATTATTTTATTACCTTATGGACATGCAAAACCAAATTTAGTTTGACGATCACTGCGTCTAGTATCGTGCCTAATATTTGGCAGTGCACCAATGATTCATTCTGAGACTTTCTCGAGATCATACTATTGTAAAGTGTTTTTTTATAGTTTATCTGGTGTGCTGTAAATATACCGTTATTTTTAAAAATGCTTCATGACATAGATTTTAACGTGTATATCGCTTCTGAAAATTGGTCTAGAGCTTTATTTTTTTATGATATAGACTTATCAGTATACATCAATTTAAGCTTACTGAAAGTTAGATCATTATACTGAAGAAACTATTTGTAGATTCTGTACATTTGTGGTCAAGTTAAGTTCAATTTGCAAACATCTTGACTACAGATATTCCGTTTTCGTAAGTGGTAGGGATATGAACTCCTCTCTCAAACATTTTGTCTAGATAAGGTAGAAATTTTCAGAATTAATCTTGCTTCTAATATAATCCCGAATCTACCAAATAATTCGTGATTGCCACTAAAAATAATTCTCTAAAATGGTTAATTTTAATAGCGTAATAGATTCTGGATTTGTCTTTATTCAGTGCACGAAAAATAAATCTAAATAGGTTTGATATCTAAAAAATATGTTGAATATAGGTTATCAACTTTAAAAACTCTTGATGCGTCTAGAGTTCTGTGCCATACCACAAAATATCTACGAGCACTAGTTTTTTGTGGAAGTTTCGTTTCAGTTTATCAGAACTACAAATTTCACAGTGGCTAACTGTTATCACTTATTCATTTGGGCACTCTAGATATTTGTTTTCCATACCGTAGCTGCTACCTTGACGCGGTGGTCGGGCTTGCCTATCTTGATGACCCAACTGAGCTATATTGGCTAGAACATATGTTCCTGTAGGTTCTACCATGCCAGGGAGGTCGGTTGGAGAACAGTAAGACTAAAAGCAGCAACTCATGATCTGAGGGCGAAGTCGTACTGCTGACTGTAAAGGGGTGTAACAACAGTAAGGCGTTTCCCCCGGACAACCAGCATCGGCAGCGACGCTGCCTTCTCACAAGGAAGGGGTTAGAAAAGGTTGGTCCTTAAAATGCTACACCACGAATTTCCGTCTCCGGCGGCAAGGTCCTTTGAAGAACGGAGCTAACACACTAAAAACTTCCACGAAAAGGCCGTGCGCGACCAACCTCAAGCAGTTGTCCCTTGGGCTCTGTGGTCACGCTCTCAGGTCTTCAAGGCCAACATTAATCCAATTTCCTTTTCAGGTTCCTCAAGAAATACCCTTCCACGGCGCGGGCAGCCGGGAAGTGACATCAGCCCTCATACCCGTAACATCACACGAGACCAAGATGGCCACATTCAAATCCTTCCTACACCTCCTAATACCTCTCTTATTTCTATGACTAACCTTGCTCACTTCTCTTTATCACCTCGCACCGCTAAGGCAACCGATTCGAGTATGCGGAACGTTATTCCTGCTCTCGTGAAACCACACTCTAAACTACACGTAGAAGCTTTTAACGTCCGGACACTGTGTCAAATAGGACAACAGGCTTCCTTAGCTAAGACTTTAGAATCTCGCGCCATCGATGTGTGCTGCGTCTCTGAAACGCGCATACAGGACATGAGTAGTGTCATTCATTTTACCTCACCATATCAAAATAAAGAACCAACTCGATTCACACTTCGTGTATCTGGAAGCCCTGATGCTGATCCTCGTGGCCTGGCCGGCGTAGGTATAGCATTGAGTCCTAGGGTAGAACTAGCTCTCTTAGACTGAATCACAGTAGACAGTCGTTTGTGCGCTGTCTGACTATACGGAACGGTAAGGACTCGGAAAGATAGGGACACTCGTCGTTTCTGCCTATTCTCTCACTGACTGCAGCTCAGATGATGTAAACGATGAGTTTTACAGAAAGCTTTCCTACCTTCTCCGAAAAGCTGGACGCTCTGATTTAGTAATAGTGGCTGGTGACTTTATTGCTCAAGTAGGTAAATTAAGCGAAAGTGAAGACACCTGGGTGGATCTTATAGCGTCATGGCTCAAAGAATAGATAATGACGACCGTCTGTCGCAGCTATGCTCAGAAAACCGCCTGTTTCCTGCAAATACTAGCTTTAAGCATAAGTAAAAACATCTTTTAACATGGCGACCTCCTAATTCGTCCCAACGTTGGGCCCAAATAGATCACATCGCTATCAGTCACCGATGGAGGGGCTCGATAGAAGACTGTCGCTTGTTCTGGAGCACATGCTTAGATTCAGATCATGCTCTAGTGAGAGCGCATATTTGTCTCCGTCTTACTAGACGTAGGAGAAACGCTGCAAGGAAACCTCTTAGGGTCCTACTTAATGATAGTCAAGCCCAGAGTATATTGGCGGAACAACTAGAAAAAGTTAGGCAGCCATGTATGTGATGCCCACCCCGAGGCAGCATGGAATGATATTCGAAAAGATGTGGAAACAGCAGTGATATCTGCTAGTATGGTAGATCACAAGGATAGGGAGAAACGCTGAATCTCAGCAGCATCTACTGCACTGATAGATGCTCGAATACTTCTTCCATCTGGCCCTGAACGTAACGAAGAGCGGAGTCAGCTTAAGCGCAAGTTGACAAGAAGCTTACTCAATGATCGTGAACAGTGGTGGGTAGCGAAAGCAAGAGAGATGGAAAAGGCAGCGGCAATAGGTAATAGCAAACAATTGTTCAAACCTGTTAAGAAAACCGGTATTAGGATCCCGACTGTTGGCGAAACAATCTCAGAAAAAGATGGACATATTATACATTCTCAATCCAGCAGATTAGATCGATGGGCAGAACACTTAAGGGATCGGTTGAACTGGCCTTCAGCTACACTTCGGTTTCTCACGATCTCCAGTCAACTTGGATGGCAAGTTAATGTAGGTCCTCCGACATTTTACGAAGTTGAAAAAGCTATAGGAAATCTGAAGCGAGGGAGAGCAGCAGGCCCTGAAGGTTTACTCCTGAAGTTTTTAAGGATGGTGGCCCAGTATTAGCAGTGAGATTAACTTAGGTCTTAGGTAGAATTTGGGAACTGGACGTAATTCCATCTGACTGGTCTCAGTACTCGAACACAACTGGTCGAGTGAGAGCTTATGGCGAACTGTCATCAGAATTGATTACCTCAAGCAGTGTTCGTCAGGGCTGTCCACTCTTCATTCTTGTTTAACTTTGTCGTTGACGTTCTTTTAGAGATAACACCTTCCTCATCTAAATTTCCAGGGGTTGAACTTCTACCGCGATATTCACTTTTTGACCTAGAATATGCCGATGACATGGTTCTATTTAGTGAAGACGCTGACAAAATGCCGAGTCTCCTGACCACTCTAAGCAACAATGCAAGCATGTTCGGTTTGGGATTCTCCCCCTCAAAATGCAAAATTTTGCTTCAGGATTGGGCTGCATCGCCACCCGAACTAATAGTAGGGAGTGGAGTAGTTGAGTGTGTCGACCGCTTCACTTATCTGGCAAGTTTCATCAGCCCTTGTGGTCTGGTGTGTGACGAAATCTTAGCACGGATACAGAAGGCTCGACTAGCTTTTGCCAACTTGCTTGATTTATGGCGTAGGCGAGATATCCATCTATAAACCAAAGGACGTGTTTACTGCGCAACAGTTTGTTCCGTCCTACTTAATGGCTGTGAAACATGGCCGGTAAGAGTAGAGGATATTCGTAGGTTACCAGTATTCGATCATAGGTGGCTTCGAAATATTGCTCGTATATCCTGGGACTACCGAATAAGTGATGTAGTTGTTAGGAAACGCGTACTAGGTAAGGATGGCAAGCCAATTGACGAAGTAGTGAAACTTCATCAGTTTAGATGGCTGGGACACGTGTTACGTATGCGCAACAATCGACTGCCTCGACGTGCGATGTTCAGTGGTATAGGAGTAAGTTGGAAGAGAGCTAGGGGCGGCCAGACCAAAACATGGCACAAGTCCATGAAGTCACTGACAAGTGGACTGAGTCATGTTGGTAGGTGTAAACTACCTGGTTGGGGACCGCGAGATGATAGCAACCGATGGTTAGAGACCCTGAATGACATGGCTCGAAATCGTTTGTAATGGTGCATGTGCACCCACTCTTTGTGTTTTCTACCAAATTCTAATCTTCTGAATTCTCCATGTCCCTTTCTTTTTCCTCTTTCCAAATTTATTTCACTGGATTATACTCCTTTAATAACATCTTCAAACCCAAATGTTTCCGATTACTGCTTATACTTTTACTACCTTTTCCACTATAGGATTTGAATTGACAACTGCATGTCTGTGCTAATGTGGTGTGGCAACCTGAATTGATGTACGTATGTACGAAGTTCTACATTGTTACTGAATCACTGACTGATATTTGCTTTAGTTTTTCCTTTATTTGCTGTACTATTCAGGCTGTAATGCTGAATAACTTAAACTTAGATTTCAGTAGTTAACGCTACTTTAACTATTTTATATGTGCCTTTACTGTGAAAGCTCATTTGTGAATAAAAGATGTTTCCATCGCACGGTCCGATAAGTAAAAGAGTTAGATTTTAGAAGCCTTACTTAAATTCGCACCATACTATCGGTTAGATGCTTTCACAAGTGACAGGTGGTACTTTGGCCAGTGTGTTTTTATCTTTTGTTACCAGTAAGCATATATGATGTAGGGATTATTATAGAGCTATCCTTGACTATATGGCGAATAACACAAGAGAAACAACTTGAGGTTATTTGTAACCGTAGTACAACTATAATTTTTACACACTTTAATCGTATAGGCCAATTCATCTCTAGTAATGACTACTGACTTTGCAAAATGCAATCCTAACAATGTCGATTCATCGAACGACCTTCCTCCGGAAATCGATAACGAAATTTTAGAAGCAGATCTTGAGGAAAAACAACGTCTTATAAGTCAGGTAAGCTTTCATTTCTTTATTTTCATGTTTATAAATTGCTTTGAGTGATTACATAGAGACTGTAATTACTGAAAATAAGTATTCAAACGAAATGTTTTGTGACAAATGTTCAAGAGACATTTTCGACCTCTTTTTTCTTTGTGGAGAGCCAGGATCTCTGGAGGTGCTGGTTATCCGTGGGAAACATCATGTTCCCATCATACATCAGTGTAATCAACTCTCATACCTGCTTTGTATTTTACAATCTGCCGACCGATCTACTTGTCATTGTAGGATATTAGAGAACAAGTATTTCAATCAATATAGTTCAGTTGAATTGTCGCGTTAAGCAAGCCCAGTCACTACGCCAAGTTAGCATCTACATACAACGTTTCCAGTGTTTTGTGTTTTTAGAATTATTGTTGCATCTCATGTTGTGAATCCCTATTCAGTATCTAAATGGTTACTTGTTCAAGTCAAAACTAGGGGCTCCTGAACTGCGCGTAAAGTAATGTTTGCACGCGTTAGGTCCACCTTCTAAACTTTTCAGATCTTCATAATTAATATTGATTTTATTTGTTTTTTTTGCTTTTTTCTGTCATTTTGTTCTAAACGAATGTAGATTTTGGAGCTACAACATACACTTGAGGATTTATCCACACGGGTAGATGCTGTGAAAGAAGAAAATTTAAAATTACGTTCTGAAAATCAAATTCTTGGCCAATATATTGAAAATATGATGGCAAATTCATCAGTTTTTCAATCAACATCACCACGTGTTGATGAGAATAGGTCACGTACAAATAAAAGAGTTGGGAGATGATTATAAGAAAATGTGATATATATTACATACAATAAAGTTGGCTAGAAATACTGAAGGTAAAGATGGGGATAATTAAATTCCTAATACTTCATTTGCCCTAATTTTTTGGGACCTGATAGTTCTGCGAATTTCAGAGTTTTGAGATCACAACAATGATAATAATATTTGCAATGTTGGATTTAAGCTATTTTCTCATCTTCGAATATTTCTTTTCGTAACTTTTTAAGCTGATAATTTTTGTTGTCTTTCTACTGCGCTTACACTAAACAAAGCACTTGTAATAAAAACCACGATAATATTAGTTATGTTAACATGAAGGATGGCTTTTCTGTTGTTTTTAACTTCTTATTTTACTATCTTGTGATTTTCATTTTATTAGATTGATACGCTTTTAGTTTTACCTCTGCCTGAAGAAATTACATATGCATTTATATGTTAGCAAGTAAAGTGTCAGTGCTGTCTGCTTTTTTTTCATGTAAACAATATTGTCATAATTTAGCCCAACGTATCTTATCATCAATAAGTGAGTTTTTCAGTAAATCTATTTGATTTACTATGTAGGAGAATTTCTAGGTGACGGAACGTTTTTGGAACTTTAGTTTTTGTTAGTGTTGTAATGTGATGTGTCGAGTTTCAGCTAACCGTTAGTCAACAAACAATCGGGTTAAGGCGCACTACTTATTAAATAGTCGTTTAATATTAAAATCGACGATATTATTTGGCATTTTCTTATTCAGTTTGGGAGGATATGATGAAAATTAAATACCTATGCATTAGGTTTCAACATACTATCATAAAATCAATTCTTTTGGGTACATATTGTGATGAATTCCAAATATTTCGTAAAACTTCAAGATCTGGGTAAACTTGAAAAAAAATCGTTGAATATCAAGATTCCTAGTGCTCTCTAGTGTAGAGCTGTTATGGAGTTTCTGACAAATCTAAGACTAAGTGACAATGATATGCACCTAGCAAGGCGGAAGTCAGCAAGGAACTCCAACTATTGAAGCTCTATAAATCACCAGGCCCAGGTGACTTAACTCCGGCCCTTTTAAAAGATGTTAGTGACTTTCTCGCTAGGGAACTGAGAGTTGTTTACAAAGGTCTGGCAATTAGTGTTTCAACATCATGGAATAAGTAGATAATTGTCCCTATCTTTAAAAAGAGTTCACGTCGTTTCTGCAATAACTATCAGGGGATAAGTCTACTTCCGATTACGTCCATACTTCCGTCATACTTCTCAGATTGTTCAAAACCTGAGAAAGATTGAATCGAGAGGAGCAGGTGGGTTTTCGTTCTGGTTAAGGATGTATTGCTCATATCTTCACCCTCCTCCAAATGTTAGAACATCGTCATACTTATCCCAAGCCAACAATCATAGCGTTTCTTGACATCAGGGCTGCTTTGATTCGTCGGACGGGACCATTCTCTGGGATGGTCTATTAAAGAAAGGTTTATTGACATCTTGAAAGCCCTATATACAACCACCTCTCTCCACTGTTCCATTCAGGCAGTGGGGTTAAGTAGGGTTGCCAAATCTCACCACGCCTCTTCAACTTTGTTGTCAATGACATTCTGAAAGCAGCTCTGGTGGATGTAGGTAATGGTGGTGCATGCCTAAAGAATGACTTTTCGACATTGTGTATGAGGACGATATCGTCTTATTGTGCGATGGTACCCAAGCCATACAATCCGCACTTAATCAGTCGGTAATCAGTGTTCGTAGGTATGGTATGGGTTTTGCACCTTCGAAGTGCAAGGTACTTTTATAAAAGTGGCAGGACCCTGAACCTGCACTCATCCTGAGTAGTGAGTGGATAGAATTAGTCGGGAAGTTCGTTTGTCTTGGTAGTTGCGTAAGTGCTGGTTGTGGCGTGAGTAATGAGATCAATTAACGTATAGTGAAAACCAAAGCGGCCTATACCAATGTGGGCCATCTTCGGCGCTTTTATGACGTTGATCTGGCTGCAGAACTTTCGAACAGTTTTGCTCTGTGCTCGTGAAACCTGACCTCTTCGAGTTGACGCTAGACGACTTGTAGTTCCATGTTAAGCCCACGTAGCTTATTCTAGCTTCCGGACAGGGGTATATGTGCACTTATTATCCTATTAATCACGTCTGTAACTTATCTGACTATAAATATGGATTAACGCTTGATTAAAACGAGTTGGCTCACACTCCTCCACGTCGCTTCCCTCTTTGTTTCGTCTCTCTAAATGCCTGTTCAAATCAATAAGTGCATGATATATACATATTCAAAATCCATCCTCATATTTGACTTATTTAATTCCGTTATTCACCACCGCGTATTGAGTCGATAATTATATACGAGAACAGCCGGTATGTATATTTCAATAACATTACGATCCAATTAGAGTCAGATATCGGGCCACTAAAGACTCACTGTGTTTGGTAATCGTTTTCTTCGGAGGATTGCTGACATCCAGTGGCAAAACAATGTCAGTGATGCAGGCTCGGAGACGTGTGTTCGGGCACAGTGATGATAATTCACTTGGGGTTACAATTTTGAAACATTAACTTTGGTAGTTTAGACACACCCTACAAATGTCGTCCCAGGGAACTTTACGTCGTGCATTATTTGCTGACACGAATTGGTTGGAGAAAGCGGATAGGTGGTCAGTGTATGACATGGTGTCGCGGTATGAAAGAACGCCATACAGGACTTGCTCTTCTTGGTTCTTTAAGATTCCCTGGTTGTGTGTCCTGCGAATGGTGGATTATATGTTCGAATTGAGACAAAAAGAAAACCACCTGAAATTATCACTTTTCAAGAATGCTCTAAGTCAAGGAAAATTTAATGTAGTTAAAGGGTTTGGTGTGTTTTATTTATCTACTAGTTCATCTCTACTTTTTGACTTTAACTGATATAAACATATATACCGGTTAAGTTCTGTTGATAATTATGTGGGATAATCACCAAAGATGAAAGGCTACCGGGATTTGTATTGTTCAACCACATGTTGCCTCAAAAGGCGATGTTGTCGGATTTAGAAGTAAACTGGAAGACAGTCGGTCAGGCCAATACATGGCATTAGCCCACGAAGTCATTGACTGTTGAACTAAACCCTATTGATAGGTTCATGCTGACTGGTTGGGGTCCATACAGTTATCATAGTCAGTGGTTAGAGATAGGCGACAAGGTTCACAATCGATAACTGTCTCGTAGATTCATTTGTTTTTGCTTTAGGTCATGAGTGTTAAGGTCCTGTAAATTTTTCTGTGTCTAACTGTTTAAACTACTACTGTTACCACTACTTTCACTACTGTTGGATTTGTTTGGATAATTAAATCTCGTTGAGCTAATGTAGTATGGCAACCTAAACCAGTGCATAAATGTGCCAGGTTTTACATTTTACATAACTGACTGAAGTAAATGTGAACTAAATACGAACTAACGAGAAATTAAAACTTCAAATCTTAGTTAAATCGACGTAACAAAACGTTCAATGCTCTAACTCATTTCTCAATCGTATAACAATTCTCCAGAAATGATTAGTCAAAGTTAGAATTCAGTTAGCATTGTTATTAGACACATTTGATTGTTCAGCTCTGAACTTATATTCATTTTATGTGCGATTATTATCTTTGCACAAATGTCTTTGTTTTTTTTCAGTCAAGGAAACACTTGACTTGATAGTCTGAACTCAGTGGATTAGTGAAATGAGATCATATTTTTTTGCACTTAGTATACATGTTTGTAAGATAATAGGCTGTCGGCATTTAATACCTTGTCTGATCAGAATTAAACTAATATGGATTTAAGTTGTCCCTTACAATTGAAAGTCACTCCAAATATAAGGTAAGAACGGCTTATATAAGTTGTTACAATGACAACTGAAAAAAATAATCAGTCAACATATATGGTTAACTCTTAGATCTAATGATCGAAATGTCAATTATGTTTATGTTCGTTCATATTTTGATCAGTTTGAAACTGTAAAAAGCTCGTATGCACTGCAAAACAATTTGATGGGACAGAAAATATTGATACCTATTTGGTTGAGAAATCCACCGATTTTAAACTACTTGCAAATAGTAAGTAGTACTTGCCTGAAATACTTCAGTTTGAAGTGCTTGTTAATAGAATTCAAAACTAGTGGTTATTTTTTCAACTCTGTTGTAAGGTGAATTTAGAACGAACTAGCGTTTTGATCGCTGGAAAAAATGTTACTCGATAATTAATTGTTATTCGGTCAATGAAAAAGCCATTCAGTCACGTTTAACATGTTTAACATACTTGTGCACATGTTCGTTTAGTTTTTTGTCAACATGGTTCGAAGAAGTAAACTTTACAAAGGTTTACGATATCAGATTCATTACTTATGTATTGACAAGTTAGTTGGTATGTTAAGCGAATCGATAGAAATTGGATACAATCAAGAGTGTAGTCGATGGGGTTATCGTCTTAATTACACTTCATTTATGGGGATTTTTACTTTTCTGTTGCCAATATTATGGAATGTAATTGATCAGTCTCTTATTGATATATGTGCATCCTGAGTGAAATTCGTCGATATTAGCATTTAGCTACGTTTTTATTGGAGTTAAATAGTGGCGAGTGATGGAACCCGGGACTCGCTTTTCATCCTATTTATAACTCGTTTGCTGGAGGTTCTCATAACTCAGTGTTGGTACATATTGACTGATCATTTGAGATCCCTAATATCAAAATGTGAAAATATGAAAATTTACGAATTAAACTCATGCTCATTGCACAAGCCACCAGCTATATGAATACAGTAGCCTAGTAGGTAATACGTTGGGACTTGAAGCCGAAGGCAGTGCGTTGGTGCCCTAGTGTGGACGCCAACACTGGAATGTTTGTTCATCCATCTGGTCAGTCTCAGATGATATGAAATACACATCTCGAATCTTATTGTTAACCACTACCCAACCATAGATTTCATGCTTTATGTTGAATGTAGATTGAAATTAATTTGTTACTTGTATTCTTGACTGTGAGTGCTTGTTTAGATTCTGTTGTATTAATTTCCCTAACGTGTCTTATTTTCACTAAACTTTCTATTATGAATAACTTAATGATAAATCAGTTTGTGGAATACTTCTGAGATATATTTTTAGTGTAAATAAAGTGGACAGATTTAATACCATAGAAATCCATATTCAAAACTACAATGGTGGTATGCTTCTTAATATTCGCTAAAAATACTTCTAGTCCCATTGTGGTGTGTGCTACTGATCTCGACAGATTTAAGTAGTGTGTATCATTAATCGAAAGTGAAATGCCTAGAGGCAGAAGGTTAAGAAAATCAAAGAAAAGTGAACGAAAACAAAAAATGATTGGTGTAGGATCGAAAGAACAATGAAGTCTGAGACGATTGATTGACATTTTGCAAACGAAGCATTTACTGTATGGTTCTCAAATTTTACTAAGATGTTCTGTAATTTTGTGTTGAAATACATTCGATCGTCCTCACTTGTGTTTTCGTTCCCTACACTATATATTGATAGAACCATGGAAAAATGGTACTTGGAAAAGGAATTCTCATAGGAAATGAAAGCTGAAGGTTTATTACAAGTCGAATAAAGTTATAACTATGTTTGAATATACTGGTTTTCAAGTGACGTTTTTTTTACATATCAACAGTAATATTTGCAAATCTAAAAACTGAATTTTACTTGACATTAGTTA